TGTGACCTATATGACTTATCCATGTCTCATCACATATCTCATCAATCATTGCTAGCCAATAACTTAATAACACGCTAGCTAATAACTCAATAAGTATACCTGTACACGAGTCGAAACCACCTAAAGTGGTCTGTACGATAGGACTGGGTGTAAATAAGTACGCTCAAGTGTTACGATCACGTGAAGACTAGGTGAATAATCGCGGGTCACCTACGAGTCGGAACCACGTAAAGTGGTCTATACGACAAGACTATGCACTTACCTTGGATCCAAGGTGAGCGTAAGGTGCGGGAGGTGAACATCACGTGAAGGATTGTGCCCTGGCCACGGGCGGGAGCACTGACATCGGGGTGCAGGTTTATGAGTTATAATATATCTCAACACAGTCATACTCACTACCATCACTATCATCAACATGTACTCACCTGAAGTTTACCTGGCCTTCGCAACATCATTTAGCACTTCAAAGCATTCACAATGGTTAGGTTCAGGTAATATACACATGAATATGCCATGATGTAAATCTGAAATTCAACTATATCATACTTCCAGATATATATAAACATATATACAAATGGCATGAAATGCATAAACTGTAACATCTCACTCCCGAACTATTTACTTTCGAGAGTAATCAATGATGACAAGTCAAGTTAGACACTAGTTAGATTAACTATCATTACCTAGCTTCCCTTACTTCAATTTCTTGATTCTTTACATCTTAATTTATGACCAATATTTAACTACCAAAACCTAAGGTTATATCTTGCATTTTCTACCAAACTCCTTCACACTATTCAATTCCTCAAACAAGGCTATTGTCTCAATTATTTAGTCTCATTTATTGTATGGCCGCATCTAACATCTCGTTAGACTGCCTACGTACCCTAAACAGGGATTAAGCCATTTGTAGTTTACATCCATTATTTGTAGGTGACATGCATAAATCAATTTAAAAGCGTTTGTGGAACTATTAATTATATGCCTATGATAAAAGGAAAAAATCCACTCACCTGGAGTCCACGCTATGATTCTCTAGCATGCGTATCGAGGCGTCCCAAATGATTGGCGCCTAGAACAATTATTGAATCATATCTCAGAACTCTTATTAATAGAATACATAATTCACATAAAACACATCCTCAAGGACATTCTAAAATAGTTTGAGACCCATTGACCATAAGTTAACCGTCGATCAAAGACCGACAGTAGGGTCTACAACCTTGCATAACTCCATCCGGCAGATCTGCATATCAGATTTCCAGTCCACGACTTCCAAAGATTCACATTATGCTTCTAGAATAACATACCAAAATTTCATTACGATCCAACGGTCGGATCTTCGTCAATTACCCAAAACCAAGTGGCGATTAACATTTACTTTATAAACTTACAAATCCAATTTGGGAAGATCGGCATATCAGATTTCCAATCTGTAAGTTTCTATGGTGCTCAAATGTTATGTACTATAACATATTAAATTTTAATGACGATCCAACGGTCGGATCATCGATTCATATAAATACTTATTAACGTATCGTACCGAATTTAGGTTCTAATGATCAACCTACGTCATTCAAATATCAACAATGAATTCAAGACATTTAATATAGCATAAAAATAGCATTGGCGGCCCATTGACCACTCGCCGCCTCCGGTGGCGGTCGGCCGCCCCGACTCGCCGGAAAATTCCACTATTTCCAAAAATTACCAATATTTACAGAATTGTAGGTCTCAATGAGTAGAGTAAACTTTATACCTGTGGCCATGTCTAATTTTGTCGAGAAACACCTCAATTTTACATAATTCCGCCGGAAACCCTAAAAAGGGTGTGCTTCGATTCGACCTCCATGCTCACTCCGATGCCTCCACAAGTGTTTGGGCTTTGTTCCTGAGGTTGATGGGAGTCTATTTGTGGTGGCAATTGGAAGAAATTGTTTTAGAAATGGGAGAATCGACACAAGACCCGCCGCACCCACCGGTGCGATGTTTCCCGAATTCCATGCTAAAATCTATGATTTTTGGGGTATAATTGGAAGAGAGAAGGTTATAGAGGGGTTTCCAAGTGGTTGTTTGATGTAATTCACCGAAAAACGGGGTGAAAACCCGTCGGAAGTGTGTGTGTGGCGCCGATCGGGTCGGGTCACCAAGAATCGGGTCCCGATCCCCGCTTTTACTTTCCTCTCCTCTTCCCTCCTTTTTTTCTTTTCTGGTTGGTCCTCCTCCCATCTTCCTCCTTTCCATCCTGCAACTCTCCACTTTCTCCTCTCCTTTGCTGCCATTAGGCAGTATGTCCCCATTTTTCCTTCCTCTTTGCTCTCTTCCCTGTTTCCGTCACATACACACGCACACACTCACTTACGGTGCTATCCTCTTTTTTTTTTTTTTTTTGCATATATTAAAATAATATAAATAGAATAATTATTTCTTCAAAATACTTTCGGTTCTTAATTCCAAATTCACTTCCGCTTGTGCTTTCTCGTTCATATCGTCGAGTACTTCAGGAATATACTAAAAGAATATTTAGTACGTCTCACAACCCGTTGGTCTATGAAAGTCAAAACCTTCGCCTCTAGGGCATTTTTGTAAATTCACATTATAAAATTTATAAAATAATAAAATTTGGGATGGGTTGTCACGTATATGATTTCCATAATTGGTACGTTATGTTTAATAGGATGTTAGTTGTATTTTTAGAATTTTAATGATATTTTTTATTTGAGTAATGAAAAGTGTCTTTTGAAATGAATTATGGGATAATATATCTCCTAGATTTAAGGATTTAGGTGATATTAATTTGTCATATGATTGGTAAACCAAATATATGCAATTTTTTTTATTAAAAATTAGATAAGAATGTTTGGTCAAAACTCTAAAAGCTATGGATGTTAAATCTAAGAATTTCAAAATTGAGGCACCTACATCAAAATACCCCTAGTTTTTATAGTATTTATCTTCTTCTATATATAAAGCCAACAATAAAAGTGAATAATACTTTTTGGTGTCACAAGCTTTAACAAAAATAATTGGATAAAAATGCCCCTCAAGCAAAAAAATTCAAAGGCAACCCAAAATAATGCATCAAATGTGGTAGGGGTATTTTCGTCATTTTAACATTATTTTTTAATAATTAATTTTTTGTACTTTTTTTAATTAGTACATCACAATAGGTTAGCAATAATGTGATTCAATCAACTGTTCATTCAATATTATTTTCTCTATTTTTAAACACGTTCAAAATATCTTAAGAGGCGTGCAATGCCAGTTATAAAAAAAGTCTTTCGCACGTGGATAATACTGTGATTAAATTAGATGTCAAATGATTTTTTTTTTTTAACAAATGATATTATCTACACTAAGTGGGAGAGGATGAGCTTAGCCTTGCAATGAACTAGCAATAATGTGATTCAATCAGCTGCTTATTAAATATTAGTTTCTCTATTCTTAATGTAAATTTTATAGAGACCGATTTTATTACGTGGATTCAGCTGCTTTAATTGGTTTATGAGGGGTTTCTTCTAGCATGATCTAAGATTATTCATTTATTTCAAATATTTGACTTTCCTTCTGTCAATTTAAGGATATAAATACATTTAAAACGTGAAATGCCGTGATTCAAAAAATATATTTTAGATAAGCATGAGTGCGTGCGTGAAAACTAGTCAATATCAAATATGAAAATGGAACCTTGAACATAACATGCCCAAAAATATTAGTCGGTTAATCAGAGAGTATAATTATTAGTTTTTATATTTTTTATAGTATTTATCAATATCAAATATGGAAACGGAACCTTGAACATAACATGCGCTAAAAATATTAGTTTTTATAATTTTCATGCAAATTAAATTGAATCATTAATGTTAAGAAAACTCTCTTAAATGGACTTTTCATACACTCTCTTCTACTTCACAAGTTAATATCAACCTTCGTAATAACAAAACATTATATCTAAAATAAAAGATAAAAGAAAATTTATAAAAAATTTTACTTTTAAAAATCTACTTAATGTTTCTCTAAACTAAATAATTCACCGAAAAAAATATTAGTCGGTTGAATTGTGCGCCACTGAAAATGGAACTGTTCAATCGAACTGTGTGCCGCCCCATAAGTACACAATCCGTCTCAGTTCTTCTTTTCCAAGATGGGTGGAGTTCCTCTTCAGATTTGTTCCACTATGATCACTAGATCAAGTGATTTATACCTTAAATTTCATTTTACTTTCCACCTATTTTGATTCTTTAAAAGTTATAATAATTTTTCACCGTTAGAGGAAATTTTAAAAATCTAAATCACTTGATCCGATGATTTTGATGGAAGAGATCCGAAAAGAATTTCTTTACTTCTAAGATAATCTATGGGAGATTTGGTCAGGTGATACTTATGCTTCACAAGTTTTCATTCACAGAGTACTTCCAACTATTATTTTTTCTACACTTAATCTCTCTCAATTTTTTTTTTTATTGAAACGAGTATGATTAAATTACATTGATATTTTATATTAATTTTTTTAAAAAAAAGACAAAAAGATAGAGAGCAAAATGTAAGAGGGAAAGAAGAAGGGAGAGAATAGAAAGAGAGAGAATTTCTCCCTATTATAAATGATATTGCCATTCATTGGCAGCAAATTAATCTCCACAAGTATAAAATCATATCATTGAGTCACTTGATCAATAAATAAAGTTGTAACTCAAACATGAATGAATGGAAGAAGAAAACGTATTAAAATATATTAAAATATAGTTTGGTGATAAGGAAGCAGAATATGAAGCAGCTGACAATTGTTTTTGTTACCCTAAACCTCAGAATTTGGACACCTGGTTCCCATGCAGTGCCCCTCTCTCACATGCTAGCTATCTTAAAAGAAACCACCCATCTGCTGGTTTTTGCAGAAAGTCTCTTTCACTCGGTTACTTGGATATATACAAAGCTGTATAAGGAGCTGCAAGGAAGTTGTAGCAATTAAGAGGCTTTGTTTTGAATGTTTGAGAGTTGAGATCATGGCCTCAGCAAGCACCGCAGCTGATATTTCTGAAGCAAAGATCACACCAATTGTCATCATTTCATGTATACTCGCTTCAAGTGGAGGCCTCATGTTTGGTTATGAGGTTGGCATTTCTGGTCAGTAACCACAAACACCCACAATTTTTTACTTTTTAATTTGTTTGTCTAATTAATACTGTTGTTTATATTAATTTTTGGGGCTTTTTTTTTGACAAATTCCATACGAAATTCATTTAAACTATGGGAAGAAAGATTCGAACTTATGTTTGGAGAGCCAGTATAATGTTTTAACCCAACTTGACTGGAGTACAATATTTTCGCCATTGGTTGTACTTGATGCAGGCGGTGTGACAGCTATGCCAGGTTTCTTGAAAAAGTTCTACCCAGACGTGTACACTAGCACTCAGAAACTGAAGACCAATAGCAATTACTGCAGATTTAACAATCAAGGCCTGCAATTGTTCACCTCTTTGTTGTACCTTGCTGCTTTGGTATCGACCTTCTTTGCATCGTACACTACCAAAAGGCTAGGGCGAAGGCTGACCATGTTAATTGCTGGGTTTTTCTTCATTGTTGGTACAGTTCTTAATGCTTCATTTCAAGAACTTTCCATGGTTATCATTGGTAGGATCTTTCTTGGCTGCGGAGTTGGTTTCGCCAATCAGGTTTTTAACTTTGTATTGTTTATAATTTTGTTATTCCTCCATATTTTGAGACTCTTAACAGCAATTTTCTAATCCTTTATCAATTTGTAGCAATATATTTCCTAAAAGAGGTAGTCAGGGCAACTTTAATCACAATTTCAGGTAATAGTGTCACATTCAAATCTTAAAGAATAGGGTGATGTTAAGGAGGAAGAAAGAGTGACAACCACTGCCAAGTCACTCATTACCACTGCATCAGATGAAACAAGATGATCTGCATATAATTTTTGGTGCTTATATTGCCTTTATTTGTTAAAAAAGGAAATTTGGAAGAAAATAAAGCCCTTTACTTTTAACTAAAATTCTTAATTAAAAAGGGAACTTTTGGTCTTTTTCAAAATTAAATTTTGTGAGGCTTAGCTCACTCTCTCACCTGTTAAGATATATAATATCGTTTGTTCAATATTTTTTTGGTCATTTTTACATTGAAAAGACTTAATTGACCCTGTACTTTTAATTAATTGGATTCATACAGTTTGTTTGCCTAATTCGAGTTTGCTCGAGGACCCCTCGAGAAAGGTCGATCTGTGACATCCCTTTAGTAATATTGCAGCAAGCATAAATAGCACTCAAGGGATAAAGTTGTTATCAATGGGGTATCGAGCAATGGGAACAAGGCAAAAGCTTTGAATACAATGAAAACTGTAAGGTTAGTTAAGTTTTTCATAAAAATTCTAAAAATTTTGAATGGAGGGGCAAAAGCCCTTTCGAGCCTCTAAATAAGGCATTTCTCTAAATTTCCCATTTTAAAACTATGTTTTTGAGGATTTAAAGATAATTAAGCATTTTATGTTTCGCATTTGAAGTTTACAATTTAGAGTTTAAAATTCAAATGTAAGTCTAAAAAGAATATTGATCTGTATCATATGCCCCATATGAAGAGGAGCTTCAGCTTTCCTTTTCTTGCTTTTAAGCCATATATGTTTTTCCCCTAATTTGGTCATCGAGTAATGGTTTCGATGTTTTGATGTTTTGCAGGCTGTGCCACTATTCCTTTCGGAGATTGCACCCACAAGAATTCGTGGAGGACTCAACATACTTTTCCAACTAAATGTAACCGTTGGAATTCTTTTTGCTACCCTTGTCAATTATGGTGCTGCTAAGTACGTCCCCTTCTCCTTGGTTTGAAAGAGTACTCCTATATATGAAGAATATCAACAATTGAAATTAGGTTCTTATTCTACTAGACACATGAAGAGAAATGTCTATAATGATTATCGAGATACAACATTAATGGGCATGAATTAATTTTTTCTTACTTCTTGTGCTTTACCACCATCCACTATAATTGATATGTAATTATGTGTTCTGCCAAATACAGGATTAAAGGGGGATGGGGTTGGAGGGTATCGCTGGGTTTGGCCGGTGTTCCGGCACTCTTGCTGACCTTGGGGTCTCTTATTGTGGTAGACACTCCTAACAGTTTGATACAACGTGGTAAGTTGGATGAAGGAAGAGCAGTACTTAAAAGGATCAGAGGCACCGAAAACGTTGAAGCCGAGTTCTCGGAGATACTGGAGGCAAGTAGTGCAGCCAAAGAAATAAAGCACCCCTTTAAAAATCTCCTTAAATGGAAGAATCGCCCCCCACTGGTGATTGCAATAGCAATGCAGGTCAGTATATATACACATACATTGGTTACTACAATTGAAAAGTAGTAGTGTAATGTTAACATTAATGATGTTTTCTCTACAGATCTTCCAGCAGTTCACAGGCATGAATGCAATTCTTTTCTATGCTCCCATTTTATTTGCGACCATGGGCTTTGGCAACAATGCCTCCCTTTATGCCGCAGTTATACTAGGAGCTGTCAATGTCCTTGCAACGATTGTATCTATCTTCTTGGTTGACAAAGTTGGGCGTCGAATGCTGTTATTAGAAGCTGGGATCCAAATGTTGCTTTCTCAATTGGTTATCGGAATAGTGCTAGCCTTCAAGGTTAAGGATCACTCTAATAACTTATCTTATGGTTTGGCGATTGTGGTGGTGGTCATGGTGTGCACTTTCATCTCCGCCTTTGCCTGGTCTTGGGGACCCCTCGGGTGGTTAATTCCTAGTGAGACATTTCCGTTGGAGACTCGGTCAGCGGGGCAAAGTGTGACCGTTTGCATGAACATGCTTTGCTGTTTTCTTATAGGACAAGTCTTCCTCTTAATGCTTTGCAGTATGAAGTATGGCGTCTTCTTGTTTTTCTCTGCTTGGGTCTTGGTCATGTCACTCTTTGTGCTATGTTTGGTTCCCGAGACCAAAAATGTCCCTATTGAGGAGATGGCAGAGAGAGTGTGGAAGCAACATTGGTTTTGGAAGAGATATAAAGACGACTACGGAGGTGGTCGAGTCAAATAATTTTATTTTTATGATTACATTGGAGGGTTCCAAGAGAAAATGTCATCAAAATAACTGTGTTAAATCCCTCTCATGCATCATTATGTTGAAGTTTGTAAAACTATAACGAACTTAGTTAATGGTTCGTTTTGTTTAATATTATGTGTGGAATGCAGGTGTACTGTCTTGTATTATTTGATTGGCATTGCTTAATGTATTAACCTCCATGCACAAGCATCAGGATCATAATCCATAAGGATAAGTCGTTTTAGAATTTAAAAGGCAGAGTCCCACGTGAAAGTGTGTTAGTTTTTTGAGATAGGTTTTTGGAGGAATTAAACCTGAACCTATCCTAATTAATTCTGATTCATTATCCACCTCCCTTACCACCTTGAAGCATATTGACAAATGTAGTAGGACAATAACACTATGCAGTTTTCAACGAAATCGCTCGATTGAGATTTGATTTTCGCTACCGCCCCCTACATATTTGATACCCTCTCCTACAACATCTAAACAACGAAAAAGACACTGTAAGAGCCGTTAACACCTCGAATTTTCCCTCTCCACTATGGTTGCTTAAAAAGTTCAAGAAAATCTAGTTTCTTTTTGCTCTCTGTATTCGAAGAAAAAGTTATGTTCAGCCTCCTCCAACTCCAGGCTTCTCTTCTCCTACGGTATGAAAGCCCAAGAAAGCGATTTACATTAAGGCCCCCGACAAGGCTTAATTAGTTCCTTTTCCGAAATAAAGCAATTATTTCTGTTCAAAAGACTTTCACAAAACCTGTCTTACAAAGGAGTAATGCTAGAGAAACTAAATTTATAGACAAAATTTTGTAAACTAAATGATATGGCAGTTGCTAATTGGATTATTATTTAAGTATTGATAAATGTGCTCAATTATATTGATGACACATCATTTAGACCCTATACAAAGTGATGTAGTGATTAGTCCTTCATCCGCGTCAACTACGCTCTAGTATCTAGCTAGTTACAGCAATAGTAAATATGTGAACAAATAAACCACACACGAAATTTTGTTCAAAAAAAAAAAAAAAAAAAAAAAATCATACAAGAATTTTAATTATACAGAAAATAGCTTACATATTGAATTTGAATAGAAATTTGCGACGGATACGCTGTTGAACAATGTGTAGAATTATAATTAAATCAATTGTATTGATAACACAAGGTACAAATATATACTAGCCTATGACTTGTAGTGCATGTAAGAATATAAGCATGAGGATGAACCTGTGAACTTGGTTATAGGATTAGAGATTGAATATAAAGTCTTGTTGAGAATGGATTTGTGAATCCCTATTGTAACTGAACTACTATTTAGAAGGAATTGGTTTTCTATATGGATTTTAACAGGGAAATGCTTAAAGAATTTGGCTAGGATTATATAGTATATATATGGTGGCCTCTGCTCTCACAGTGTGTGTGCTCTACTCAAAACTAAAACCTATTATTAGTTGAGAACCTTGAATATTGAAGAGAGGAGAAGGCGCATTGCATAATTCTTGCAGAAATCAGGCATGGCTTCTGGTTCGAGTTCATCTGTAGGTATGGTTCTTCTCTGTGCTTTGATTGATGAATTACGATTTTGTGTTTTGATTACAGTAATTCGTATTGCTTGATCTTGGTTTTATGTTTATTCTAATATGTGGTATCAGAGCTAAGATTATAAGTTTATGAGTTATGTGATTAAAACCAATACGCTCAAAAGCATTAATAATATTTAAGAAAATATACCTTTGTTGCAGGGTTAGGGACTCAAACATGGGTTATGGCATATAGGTTTCACAAATAACAACAAAACCTGAAGAAAATATAACCATTGAGTTTTAAAAGCTAGTTACCGTTAGATTTCCTACAAATCCATTGGTAAGGGTTTTCTTTCCAAACTGGGGATCTTTGATTAAGAACATCACTCATCAAAATATGCTTCTGGGTTATGAATTCATCAACCTTGTGATTGATATGATCAATTTGAATGACTTTTCTACTGCGTTGTTTCAAAAATAGGATCTGTGTAAGGTATGTTTAATAAATTGCAAGGCTTTATCCTTGTCTGCTTAATGTTTCGATGCATAGATTGAGTCGAAGATTTCTGCTAGATTTTAGATATAAGATTACGATAACAAAATCTGTATAGATCAAATCTAATTGAAACTATTGATCAGTAATCTCATACCATAATTGCTCAATCATATTTGAAACTGCAATTATTTTTTGATATGCAAATTCTAATGCATCTTTGTGTTTTCTGATTGAACAATGGATGATGGTAACCATGCATGAGACATCTATGATGTCTGTTGTTGCATATCTTGGTATTGATAAGTCAATTTTTCTATGTATGCTTATTAACTATACAATGTTAAGTCTATATGTATTAATTATTGATGCAAGTTTTGATGTGCAAACTGCAAAGCGAAATCAGGAACCGAACCGGTTCATGTTTGTGATTTCATCTCCAGCATCTGCAATATCTCTCAAGACTTTGAATTTAGCCAATATACCAATTCTCGCTGGAGGGAGTAACTACAAGAAATGGAGGAGAGAGATTGGATTACATTTGACAATCAATGAGTATGATATAGCCATTGATACTTCAAGACTAGTGATCACAGAACAAAGCACTAGAGCAGAAAAGGCAGATTATGAGAGGTGGACAAGAGCAAATAATGTTGCACTTTAAATTCTTGAAAGTAGGATGACTGATACAGTTCGTGGAGGGATTAAAAGGCATGAGTTGGCTGCAGAATATTTGAATGCGATAGAGAAAAAGTTCAAGGAGACAAAGAAAGCAGAGATTAGTCAATAATCTCACTTTTGACAACCTACAAAATTGATAATACTGGTTCAATTAGGGATCATATTATGAAGATGACTGATGCTGCAAAAAAGTTAAACTCCATGGATGTCAACATCGGTGAAAAACAGTTGGTTTTCATGACTTTGCAAGCCCTCCTAAACAAGTATTCTCAATTGAAGGTGTCCTACAACACACAAGACAAAAGTTGGGATGTAGATGAGCTAATTGCACAGCGTGTTCAAGAAGAAACTCGACAAAGGCAAAAGAAGGGCAAAGACATTGAAATTGTGAACCTTGTGCAAGGAGGGAAATGAAGAAGTTCAACAATGCTGGAAACAATCCAAGTAAGAACTTCAAGTACTCTAAACCTTTTGATAAGACTGGTATTTATGCTAAGATATTTGAAACCTCTAGAGGGTCTAACAATCTTAAACCTAACGTGAAAAATGTTGCAAAGCTTAAATGTATTTTTTTTTTTTTTTTTTTTGGTAAAACTCAAGGCCATTTAAGAAAAGATTGTGAAATGTTTAAGGACTATTTAAAAGCTAATGGAAAAGAGATAGTTAATGTATGTGTAGAGTCAAACTTAATTGAGGTTCTATTTAACTCTTGGTGGTTTGATACTGGTTGCACAGTTCATATAACTAACTCACTTCATGGTTTTCAAAAACAAAAGGAAGCTAGTTTTAACTGTTTTAATGTTTTTGAGGGGGAAGGGATAAAAGTTCCAGTCAAAACTATTGGGCCAGTCAGATTAAAATTGAATTATGGTTTCATTTTACAATTGAGTGATGTGCTATATGTGCCAAAGATGAGAATAAATTTGATTTCTGCCTCTAAACTTGCCAAAAATGGTTTTTCCTTCCCAGGGGATGATGAATGTTTGAAACTTTTTCAAAAGAACTGTTTTGATTCCACTTTAAGGACTGCCAGGTTGGTTGAAAACTTATGGCAGTTAGAGTGTGGTGTGGTTTTTAATGAGCATCATGCACTAAACACAAGTACAAAGAAAATGTTAAACACCAACACTTCTTACATTCTTTAGCACAAGAGATTAGGTCACATATCAAAAGAAAGAATCACTAACTTGTCAAAATTCAACTTGATTCCTTTACTTGATTATGAAACTGCAATTGAATGTGTGGATTGTTTCAAAGGAAAGTTAACTAATTTTTGAAATTTTGAAGCCAAAAGAAGCAAAGATTTACTTGAGATTATTCACACTTATGTTTGTGGTCCTTTGTGGAAACAGTTACTTTGTTAATTTCATTGATGATTTTTCAAGATTTAGTTATACCTATTTAATAAGTGAAAAGTCAGCTATTCTTAATTGTTTCACAATCTTTACGACTGAGGTAGAAAAACAGTTAAACAAATCAATCAAGATTGTTAGATTGGATAGGGATGGAGAATATTTTGGCAGGTACACAGAGTCTAGATAACGAAAGAGCCCTTTTACTCTCTATCTTGAAGAATAAGGAATTGTGGCTCAATACACAACTCCTGAAACACCACAACAAAATGGAGTATCAGAAAGGAGAAATAGAACATTGATTGGCATGGTAAGAAGCATGATGTCAAGGTCTAAGTTGCCAAGTTTCCTATGGGGTGAGGCCCTAAAGACTGCCAACAATATACTAAACTGAGTCCCTAGCAAATTAGTGTCAACCACCCCTTTTGAAGTCTGGTATGGTAAAATGCCAAGTTTAGTCACTTTCACGTTTGGGGATGCAAGGCAAAAGCCAGGTTCTACAATCCAGAGGAAAGGAAACTAGATTATAGAACTGAGTCATGCTACTTCATAGGCTACTCAGAAAAATCAAAGAGGTTTAAGTTATATTGTGCACAGTCTCACACAAGAATCAAAGAAACCCACAATGCAAGATTTTTTTTGAAGATTAAGATGTCTTAAAATTTTCAATTGAGAATTTCATATTTGAAGAACTAGAACAACCATCAAATGAAGCTTCTTCAAGTGATCACTACCCAGTTTTGGTGTACTCCCAAGCCAAGGATCAACAGATTGAGTTTGATCACAATGAAGAACTTGATCAAGTGATGGAGCAACCAGAAGTAACTAAATTAAAGCATGAACCGAGTTAATAAGTTACTGAACAGATTGATAATGCTTAACAAATTGGCAATGTACAAGTTTAACCGCAAATCAAAAGATCCACTAGAATAAGAAAACCTACAATTACAAGAGATTTCTTTTGTTATCTCCAAGAAACTGATTATAACATTGGAGATATTGATGATCCCACAACTTA